TGCGTTATGAAACTCAGCTTCGCACCTTAGCCCAATTCCCTGACTCCATGCTCGGCGACCCCAGACGAAGGTCACGCTACTTTGACCCACTTCGAAATGAGCTCTTCCTGGACCGCAATCGAGCCTGCTTTGATGCCATTCTGTATTTTTACCAGTCAGGGGGTAGGCTTCGGAGGCCTGCAAACATACCCCTGGATATTTTCATGGATGAGCTGATATTCTATGAGCTCGGAGAGGACATCATGAACCGCTTCAAGGAGGACGAAGGTTTTCCAAAAGAAGAGGAGAGGCCTTTGCCATCCAACAGACTCCAGAGAAAACTGTGGATGCTGTTTGAGCACCCAGAGTCCTCATCGGGTGCACGCATCATCGCCATCATTAGTGTGATGGTAATCGTGGTGTCCATCCTCATCTTCTGCCTGGAGACACTGCCTGACCTCAGACATGACAGAGAGGTTGGAAATTTAATTCAAGTTCATGTTTGGGAAGGAAAGGTGTGAAAGATGGATGGTTTTTGCAGGGTTACCTGAAAGACAAAATGGTGGTATCAAGGCACTAAAAGAGAAACCCAAAATCTTGTTGTAAAGTCTTGAATGAAATATATGTGATTGTTTGGGTCAAAGGAAACATAATACTTTGGTAAGCTGTTGTTTAGGTAAACACACACTAGAAGAGTACTACAGTGTGCTAAGAGGAAAAATACTGACATAGGATACTATTGGCCAATATGTCTGGAAGCAGACCAGAGCAAGCGAGAGCTTATGGCGTGATTATTTTAGTCGGCTGTTAAATTTGATACGCTCGGATTCAGGAAGTGTTAAAGGGTACAGGGATTAATGGGTGGGTATTGGAATACAAATAATAGGAAGCATATTCAGACCCGAGAAGACAGTTAAGTGTGTTAATTAAAGGTCACAAGTGACCATACATATAGGCAAAGGTGAGCCAAGGCCTTCCAGGTGGCGTAGAACCAGAGACTAAAAGGTCTCACAGGATGAGCTGCATTGTTTTGGGTCATGTTAACACATTCCTCCAGGACTGCTGTGCTGTGGCAGACTTCCTTTGCACAAGGCAGCTGCCAGGAAACTACTGTAACCTCCTCCTGTTCGAGTCAGCGGTACACTCACTGAACTGCACTGGCAATGTTACACGGCCTCGGCAGCCAGGGCGATGGGAATAGCGATGAAGGTGGAGATGGATGAGGAGTGGTGCAAGTAGACACTCATGTTTCTCTTCAGAGATCTCACTGGGTTAAATATAGTCTTAGGAGAGCCCTTGGAGCGAATCAACACATAGATGTCCACCTTTAGTAATAAACACTGTCACTGACCTGCTACTGAAAGTCATAAGGAATACACTAAGTTTATGTCTACTCTGAGCTTTATATATATTCCACACAACCCATTACAGCGTACTAAACACATCTATTTTAATCCATGCAATCCGATTTCATACTGTTAACTGAATGTTTAGTATAAGATGTTTTAAATAGCCACCAGCCAATGCTTGAATATGCAGTGTTATAATAATAAGTGGCACACATGATGGAATGACAGGTGGACCAGAAGAGATAGCTGAATGGAAAAGTGCAGATGCCTAACACTTGCAATGCTGCCAAATGTGAGAACCAATAGCATGGTGGGCGACATACTGTAGTTTAATGTATCAAACACTACCTAACTCAGCAGTATTTTTTTAAAGTAAAATACTAGCACAATATACAGTAACAGCTTTGCATTTGAAAGAACATATGTTTACTTAATATGTTTTAGGAAGACTTAGATTATAAAATGCATACCACATTCATATATATATATATAAAATATAGCTATCGCAACCCACTTAGCTTAGCTTAACTAAGCTTAGCAAAATGACTGATCACACCAGGTAACCTGGTGCTATCAAAAGTAACAAATCTTGCCAGCAAACTTAAAGTTTTTTTTAAATTAATTTTAATCCATATAATATTAAAATTAGTTCACTGTTCTATGGATGGCTACCTACCAGATTTCTTGCCATGGTTTTGCATAGTAGTTTGTAGTTAGCACTGTTTCCTTAGAGCAAGACAGTTCTGGTTAGCTGGGACATCTCTGTGTAGAGTTTGAATGTATTCCCCACGCCTCCATGGGTTTTCTACACATTTTCAGCTGAGAGACATACAAATGTATTTTATTGGTAGTTAGAAAATAGATGTAGGTTTGATTTACAACAAATCCTGAGGGACTTTGTGTGTGTAACTTATGCACTTTTAGTTTGATCAAACAATCAAGACACATCCTGTTAATTTTAAGGTGCTGGCAAATGTTTTTGTTACTTAGGTGTTTTTTGATTTTTTTTAAAATTATCTTTTGTTTTTACTTCTAACTTCACAAGTATGTTTTACATTTTTCCTGTCTACCCTGTGTCATTCACGCAGGAGCATCACTCCCAAGCAAAGAACATGTCTGAGAACATGCCTGCTGCATCAAGTTTTTTCCACGATCCCTTCTTTATGGTGGAGACTGTGTGCATATGCTGGTTCTCCTTTGAGCTCATCATGCGATTCGCTTGCTCCCCCAGCAAAATGCACTTCTTCAAAGATGTCATGAACATCATTGATTTCAGTGCTATTCTGCCTTATTTTGTCACTCTGGGAACAGAACTGGTCAAAGACAATGATGCCTCTCCAGCCACGTCCTTGGCCATCATCAGGGTCATCAGGCTGGTGAGGGTCTTCAGGATCTTCAAGCTGTCTCGTCACTCTAAGGGCCTCCAGATTCTTGGTCAGACACTGCGGGCAAGCATGCGAGAGCTGGGTCTTCTTATCTTCTTCCTGTTTATTGGCGTCATCCTCTTCTCCAGTGCTGTCTACTTTGCTGAAGCAGACCACAACAAAACAGACTTTGTCAGTATACCACATGGCTTCTGGTGGGCAGTTGTCACCATGACTACAGTAGGCTATGGTGACATGTACCCTGCAACAGTCTGGGGCAAGATGGTGGGCTCTATGTGTGCCATTGCTGGTGTTCTTACCATCTCGTTGCCTGTTCCTGTCATTGTGTCCAACTTCAGCTACTTTTACCATCGAGAGACTGAATGCGAGGACCGAAGTGAGTACACTCATGTCGAAACTGGCCTATGGGAGGATGAGGAGGCCGAACGAGAGGATTTTGAGGAAGATGGCCAGGATCCAGAGGGAGATTATTATGCCAGTGAAGGTATTTGCAGCCCTCTAAATGGGACTTTGCTTGGTGGACTGTGTACAGGACAGAGTATAGAGTACAGGGGAGGAAACATGTATCTGAGGGAACCACTGGTTACTCAAGTTTAGGGAGGAAGTTTTGTATCCTTTGACAAAATCATAAAAGCAAGAAAAGTTCATGATTCACAATTAAATAAAAATGCATTTAAAGGTTCTGAAGTCCTGGCAAGACAAACTAGTGAACCAACAAATGCTAGTTTGTGTCATTTCAATTTAATGCTCATATACCTCCTGACAACCTAATATTGCCTTTGTTATTTGCTGGAACACTAACCAGTCAAATGTCACTGAAAAGCAACTTTTGCATAACACTGGTTTAAAAGACAAAAGTTTTACATTCTCAGGGTTGTGATATTAATGAAATACAAGCTTCTATTTATTAATACTGTCAGCTTGTGTTTGAGATGACTTCCTGAATGTCTTGTGTCTTGAAACTATAATGTCTTAGTACTTGTGCCTGAAAGTTTGAAATGAAAGCAGACAGATCACAGGCGATATGAATGTCACATCTTTTCAGAACTCAACCAAATACCAGCTGAGCTGTCAATGAGGACAGAATAAGATCTCTCATACAACACCTTTCACATTCTCAATATTGTTCTATAAGTATAATGTATGCATATTTGATATTTTATTTTTTTTTAGTTCTGGCTTATCTATTACCTAAAATGCCTGTGTTAAATAATTGATTTGACTGCCATGGCAAATGTTCTGTATTTATCTGCTTGATTAATGCATTCAGTGTTTTTGATAAAGATTATATTTTAATAATTTTCTTAAGTTTCCCATTTTGTTTTTTTGGGGGTTTTTTTGTGGTTTCCTTGTGTTGTTTTTTTAGTCAGTATTTAACAGTTAAGAAAAGGTCTATTACAGCAGTGTTATTTATGAAAATGAAATATAACAATCCTTGATAGCTTAGTCTACTGCGGCTCTGTTTTCACTATTGTGTGTCCATGCCTGACCTTTCCAAGAGCCACTAAGCTGTTATAAGCAATACCTTCAACAACATTGCTGTCAGATTCACAGGAACACATAAGACTTTCCAACACATCACAGTGATGATCCATGGAAGGTATGTGTGCTTATGTTACCTCACTTGTGTAAACTGCTGTAATAATGTGTTTTACTTTGTGTTATTGATGTTAGCTTAACAGTCAGTAAAGGGCAAGTACACTGTAAAAAAAAATCCTAAAAAAACCCTTCTGATTACAAGGCAAACTGCCAACTCTTGAGCCACGTTCGCCCTAAACAACGCTAATAATAATAATTATTTGATGTAAAAAAAAAGTTTATGAGAATTATTTTATATATTTTTCCATAGCATTACATTTGAATTTAACAGTTTAATCTTTCAAATAACGGATAAATATTTGTGAAATTATGATACATTTGTGAATGCATTTTAACAATGTAAATATGCAAAAACAAGAAAATTATGTTCTTTTACATTTACAGTCATTTTACGTTAATTTACATTTGAAATGTAAAATCACAGTCTATTTATGTAATAATGATATTCTAGAAAAACATTACAAAACTGTAAAATACACAGTAAAATACTTTTATATTACTTTTTTTTACAGTGTAGATTAAAATTAAACCTTTTTTCATTGTCTTTAACAATGGATCCCTGCCTGCTGGAATAGATTAGTCAGCGATGCAATGCTTGGATGACAGTAGATGTCTTTTTGAGTTTCAAACAACTCCTCAAGTAAACTCTCTGTTTACTTTATAATAATGGAAAATAGCATGAAAAACAAATCTTGTGATCACTTATTTTAATCTTTATAGGGAATGTAATCACTGTTACGGTCACCTGCAATCAGGCCTGAAGTGATGAACAAAGAAAGTGTGCATTTACAATGTCTGTTTATAGATCACAATGAAAAAAAAAAGAACTGATATAAAATGAGAACAATTAAACCTTACAAAAAAAGATCAAATAAATCAAAATATAAATTGTTAAACTCACATAAAACTTTTTTTTAGGGGGATATAAACTGAGAAAATCTGTTGGCCAAAGACGAGGCAAAATTTCATTAGGCACAAAAAAACAATAACTGTGAAAAAAAAAAAAAACAGACGATAGAGACGTTTTGGCTTTATTTTTGGGGAGCTGTCGCATCGTCCATGTTTTCTACAGTCATTGAAAAAAACATACACCCACACACTTGGTCTACCTCTCATTGGATTTTGTACCACCAGAGGGTGCTCATGCTTTCACTTCAATACGCTTGTTTTCCCACTTCTACTTTCCCGGTCTGTGTACTTGGTAAATACATGCTTGCTTTTTTAAGTACATTCTGGTTTGTTGAACCATTTAATAAGGTTGCTCAATCTTTTCATGACAAATCTGACAACAAATATTTATATCATGTTTGTTTTAATTCAGAATTTCTCCCCAATAAGATAAACACACTTGAGTTGTACAAACAGAAACCTCTTGGGCTTCCCCAGCACATCTGTGTTAGGGAACCTTCAGAAACATCACATGTCAAAATCAACAGAATGTTACAAACATGATTTCAAAGTACAGTTACAGTTTTTGAAATGTAAAAAAAAAATAAATAAATAACAATTTGAAATGCACAATACATAGTAATAAATAAATAACTTACATTAGTATTGCCTCCACAAAAACATGTTGAGAACAAATAACAGAAAGCTACTCATTTCAAAACTAAATCAAGTTTACAGGCTGAATCTAAAAACATATATAAAGGTGCCGATCTGTGAGAAGTCTGTGCAGTTCATTCTTTTATTTGTCCATAGAAAACTGAGGACTGCCCATAGAATTTAGACCCATTCCAAGAAGGTCATCAGAGTCCACGTTAAAAAGTCTCTGATTGTTTGGCATCTGCTCAGATGCGCTATCCGTTTTCAAGTTATTCCTCAGTGGTAGGAACCGTGTAAAGGGAAGTGCGTGTCGATCTGGGGAATGTCTTGATGCCAGTGACATGGGAAATCCATATTGTGAGGAAATGAAACGGGTGTATCCGTCAGCCAGCAGCATTTCTCTGAAGGTGCAGCTGGTTTCTGAATAGTGACTCTGAAAATAGTGTTAAAATATTGTTAAGATTTGATAGAAAGTGATGCAAAAAAGGAGGAATCAGTTTTCGGTGTTATAGCTTACCTGCCCTTTCAGATTGCCTTCGCTATCCATACAGAGAAAAAGAGATGATGATGGTCCTTTAATGATAACATGGCCTGGTTTAACTGATTTCAGCTGCAGCAAACCTGAAAATACAGAAATAGTGATAATAAAAATTAGATTTCTACATAGGCCTCAAATTATCCACTGTCTTTTGTGGATGGAAGTCAGTGCCAAATATGCAATCTGTTGGGAGCTTATCCTCCTAATACTCACTGTAAGGTGTCTGAGCATCACTTCCTGTGACTCTCCCATCCATGTTCATCTGCAAATACATCCCACGTCTGTGGTTATCTGCAAAAAGAAGCAATGAAGGAAAGTAATCAGAAACATTTGAGTTTTATAAGAGTGACATCGCCTCGTCTGTATTTTTGCGCATGCATTCAATTATTCTGTGAATTGCTGCAATGAAAAAATGTTTAAATACCTGTGTAAAGATGCACTTCTCTGACTTGATTATTAAAGGATAAAAGCGGGTTGGAGTCAGGGAGATAAAACGACACAGAGACAGGAAGTGGAATGATTAAGAGAAGAGAAGACAGGTGAAAAAACAAAGGCATTTGGGCAAAAAAAGATTGACGAAGCTTTAAGATAAAGAGATGAATAAATAAGAGATAAATAAAAATAAATAGATTTGCAAAGATGAAAAAAATAAATAAATATTAAATAAGAAATATACCACTGTGCACTAGTGACTCCAGGAGCAAGTTTTGGCCCTTATAAAGGAGCTTGGAGAAGGAGGTCCTACTTCATGACCGCATGAGTCAGACATTTCTACATAATTAGTGTGATTGAATGCTGAGGGGAAAACCTTTGCTCTCATACTGTGTATGGACTTCTCAGATCACTTACAGTAAGAGTTGTTGTAAAGTTGTGTTTTTTTGGACTCCCACAAGTTCAAGTGGACTAAGTATTTTCTGAGGCATCATGCACGTGTGCAACATGTATACATAATTATGTTAACCAGTGATTTCATCACTTAACTCAACTTAATCACAATATTTACCAACACTGAATTTTAGTCTTTTTTTGCACAGAACACATTTTGATATGAATTAGTATTTAAACAACTGCTTCTGTTCATATTAATTAAAGCCCTACACCTTACAGAACCTCCTTATGTGAGGAATTTTTAGTATTGCTTGGAATTTGCAATTCATGACTTCTTGATTAGATAGAGCATCACATATACTCAGTATATTTCAAAATACCTTGATTACACAACAATACATTGGAGCAATTCTTTCCTTTTCATAGTTTTCCTTGAAATATTGTAGTAAAAATTGACCGGAGCACAACACTAATTTTGCTTCGTCACATGTGGACGAGTGTGCTGTTTGCTTTTCCATTCATCCCTCCAATTATACTTTTAAAAACTGCAAGAAAATATAACAGGAAGTGTCTGCGTCATCTCCCGAATGAATAATAGCAATGAATTGGGAGTGGGAAGTGACCAAGTGTGTTTTGAGTTTTATGGTGTTTATCTTATTTTGATATGCGTGTGTTTGAGAGAGAATGGGGGGGACGAGTGGGTGAAGCAGATTTATAAGCAGCCGGAGTGTTTACAGGAATGCAGCTGTGCAGTCACAAGAGAGGCCTCACGTCAGATCGGAAACTCTCCAGTTAGGAAAAGGTGCATCACGGTGAAACATCTTCAAACTGCACCATCACTTATTTCACTGCACTGTCATACTGAATCGGTCAGTTAAGAATGCGAAGCATCTGCAAACACTACCCTTAAGGCCAAAGAAATAATTGATGATGCTTTCTTCAAAGCTCTGATTTACTACTGATCCATCTCCAACTTCTATAAAATAAGTAATAGATTTAGGTAAATAAATGTCTCTGTTTTATATGGAAAACTCTTCATGCTGTTTCCCAATCAAATGGTACAAATACACACAGAACATAGTCAGAAACACTTCAAAATATTCCTTAATGTTTATGCTGGATTTTCCTGTTTACTTTTTAAGCTTCCAGCAAATTGGGGTGTAAGTCCCATCAGTGTGTGTGCGAGAAGTACTTGTAAGAAAAACCCATCATGCTCTTAATTTAAGCACGTTTTTCCCCACCCTCACATATTAAGGATCTTTATGAATGCGTCAATATATTTACAGGTGATGAGGGTGAGTATTTCAATGAATAGAAATCAAACTAAAACTTCCCCAGTTAATTACATAAATTAAAATCATTCTTTTTTGTCTCACACTTTTTATGGTATCCTGAAATATGCAAATAGACTCATTTAGACTGCGTATGTTCGATGGTTTTTTTTCCCATAACCTAAAATAATGAAGTGAAACGATTGGAAAAATATGTTCTGCCTCTGTGTTCTCACCTTAAAAAAAACCCAATCTGTATTTGTCCAACTGTTTGCAATAAACGGCCCTGCACTATTTATAACTTCCACTATAATCCGCCATCTGTTTTGGCTCATTTCCAGTCATGTGGTGCTAAATTTACCCTGTAACATAGGCTGCAATTATAGTGTCACTACAGTAATCTCTTTGCTCTAATATAATATTAAAAACCAGGCTGTTTACATATCACCAACATGTCTTATTATAGATCACTCTGTTATGGACCAAATTGCAGGCAAGCACGACAGGAACATAAATGTTAAAAAAAAAAAAGTGCTACCATGGAACTTCCCAATTTGATTACTTACATAAAGCATCTATTTTTTTGCTTTACAAACTCAATTTTATCCATCTACAGTGCATACAGTACACTAATTTGCTTAAACAGAACAGACATTGTCATTTATTACTAAATATTATTTAATATAAAGTCAGATTCAAAATTTCTATTTCCTTTCATGTACATATTAGAAGCAAAAGTCTTTACAAAGGAAATTTTGGATGTTGTTCTGCCATATATCAGAAAATGTTATGGATAGCCGTAAAAAGTCAATTTCTCTCATTTATTTCGGTATGAAAATGTTCCTTAATGAAACAGTGAAAATGGGAAAAAATGAAACAATTTTGTGAGATGCATATTAACTTTAACATTTTTACTGGAAAACATAATTTACCATTAAAACGTTTAAGTGACTGATATCACTATGAAATCTCCCCACTGATGAACTCACATTAAGAAAGTTTTGTAACTTTTCTAGAATTTTCCAGTCATCGTTTTATCTAATTTAAAGTGCCAGAAATTGGAAAATGTGTGGTAAATATAAATGTAAATATATATATTTTAGTCTGATAAACATATTTCTTACTAAGAGCTTCATAACTATTGACTCACCCGCATGTGATCTTCTGTGGGCAGGCTGTGTGAAGGCGAAACTCTGAAATAACTCCTTCAATAACATTCATACAGGTATGTTTTTTTTTTTTTAATTACAGCTTTTACAATCATTATCATTATTGTTATCATATTATAATCAATTATCATCACTACTCTCCAATAATATGAATTGAAATCATAACACAATTTGTTGTCCAAAATGTACACATACAAGTAGCATATCTTAAATGTCCATAATTTAAAACATATTTCCTTTGTCAACCTAAAATGAAATTACAGTCAGTCTTAAAACTAAGTATGAAATGAACGTACAGTTTAATACGCACACATACATACTGTACATACATACATACATACAAACAATAGCAGTTATCATAAAAAATGATAAAAATAAAATACACACATTTTACAAAGTCCTGCTTTCACATCATTTGATGATCGATATCATGACGTTCACTCTAAAATGGTTGAATTTGGCATGCATATTAACACAAATGCTCCGTAACTCAAGTCATTTTCCCCCAGTTTAAACAGGATTTTGTCATAAAGCACTTTGCTAATTGTCTCATTGTCTGTCCTATTCACATTTGTGCATCTCACCTCCGTTATGGCTTAAGAACATACATATCGTCCTCCTTGTGTACTCCTACATTCTGGCCTTAAACCTCCCCCCTCGCCACACCATACTGTATTGTGATGTTACTTGGCGTTGTTGAGTATGTTCTATAATCAATCTAAATCGCAGTCAGACCAACTTAAAGGATGTGTGTTGGACTATTGTTCTCTTGATAGGAACAGGAATGCATTTTCCAGTTTAAAAACTATAAATTCATTGTGTCAATATTGCCGTCTTACACTCAAAAAACCAAAAAAGGAAAAACAGAAGATGAATTCACGATAGGCATTGGTCACTTTCTACAGGCCACTTTCTACAGAATCAAACAGCATCATGCCACAACTATGGATCGAAAGAGAGAGAGAGAGGGAGAGAGAGAGAGAGCGAGAGAGAGAGAGAGAGAGAGAAAGAGAGAGAGAGAGAGACTGATGGTAAAACAGACATTCACTCCATTTTTAACATCTTTAAATCATTCACTCTGTATCTTTGATTTTTCGAGACATGTGGCTCGAAGGTTGTTGGTCATCTTCTAGTGTCCTTTTTGTTTCGTTTTTTTGTTTTTTGTTCCTCAGGTTTTTTTTCCTCTAAAATGTGTTTTTCCTTGGGTTGATTTGGGGGCGGGGTTCTATGAAAATATAAGAAAAGACATTTAAAGAGTCACAATGGCACCGTACAGACGTGACTGATGTGGTATCCGCTCAAGCTATTTTTAGCTATGATCAATCAGAGTGCTTTTCTCACCTGGTGTGCTTATTTATTTCTTTATTTTTCTTTTTTTTTTTTAGCAGGAATATGTTCTCACAGACCCCGACTCTGCTCTTGGACCAGAGTTTGCTGACAGGGGAAAAAAAGGTGATTAGTCCTTGTTAAATATACAAGACAAACAGATACAAGTCAGTAAAGCAAAACATTACTGATGTTATTAAAAAAAACGGCACTGCTAAGCTTTAAATTCTGTATTCCAAATATAAACTATTTAGAAACACAGCATCCTAGGGAAACACCGATTTTGCTCTGTTAAGCTAATAAAGCTTACTGTTCCTCAGGAAAAACCAACTTCTGGCTATAGTTTCATATTTACTGTAAAGCAAATCATGTTAAACTTCTCATCTACTGCTCTGCATGAAATTAACAGAGATATCCAGTATTTCTTTAAAAAACAGTTTCTTGTTCTTTTTCTTCATAACCAATGAAACTGCTAAATTGTTATTATCACTGTAGGAAGTAGGAGCATTTGCAAGACTTTGTTTATATTTCTGCATAATGCGTTTTTAATATAAAAGTCTTGCATCACCATTCATCGCTTTATATTTTGCAAAGAAAATGGGAAACAGGTGCAGCTGCTGTTTCTCTTCCTTAAGAGCCGTGAAGAAGCCATTCTTAAGAAAGTGAAACAGGGAGTAAGGATGAGATATGTGACACTTTTGGAGTGCTGAATCCAAACTTGAAAATTTTGGTCCAAACCATATCAATGTCTACAGACATCTTCAGTTTCATTAGTTATGAAGAAAAAGAACAGGAAACCGTTTTCTAAAGAAATACTGGATATTTCTGTTAATTTCATCTAAAACATGGTGGAGGCATTTCAGCCAATGGTGTTGGAGCTCTTTTCAAAATAAGAAAAGGATCATCAGATCCACCATGCGATACCATTTGATTGGCTTTATTTTTCAGTATGACAATGACCCCGAACACACAGTCAAGTAAAAGCATATCTGGCTGGAAAAACACACAAAGGAACATATCGGGCATGGATTGGCCCAGAGACCTTGCCTTTTATGTTTTATTTCCATATATGTTTGCACATGTTTCAGTTATGTTTGGTATGTATAGACTTCATCCATTAGGTGCATCTTTTTTTATTCTTGAATGACTCATAGACCAATGTTAACTGACTTAAACAAACAAACATCACCTCTCTGAAAAGGGTCAGGTACAAGAGTTCACCTGAAAATGAGTGACAAAGCAGCCAATGTCCAAAGAAAAGCTTCAAAAGTCCATTTTAGAAAAAAAAAACCCCAAGTCTGGCTCTTTGAAATGAAATTATAAAGAAATGAGGGTTGACTCAAGGCTTTTGCACAGCACTGTATTTAAATATAAATATAATCTATCCAGATGGTACATGTGGAGCACCAAAATATCTCTTTGTATAAATCACAAAAAACCTTGTTGTTAGCAAATTTATGCAGGAACTATTTTCTTTTTACTGTCTCTATTTGCCAAACAAAGGAAGCATGCACATAGATAACATGCTCACAGCAAGGTTTGTAGAGTCAGGTTTTTTTTTGGGTTTTTTTGGTGCTTGGAGCAACCAGTTCCATCATAGTTCTGCAGTTAATATCTCCACATCCCAGCAACTCACACCCAAATACTTCAGAATGATAAATAGCAGCAAAAGCCAGAGAAATAAAAGATAGAAACTTGATTTTGGGGTGAACTGTTCCTTTGGAGGTTTTTTAAACAGGAAAAAACTGCTGTGTAATCCCTGATCCTGACAGTATTGTTGTTATCATGCTCAAGTCCTCACCTTCACTCTGGACTTTTCTCAGTGTGACAGACGGGGTCGAGATGGCAGAGGCACGGAAGTTGGCAGGTAATGTTTCTGAGGAATCGGAGGTAACGCCACGGAGGTCTTTCTCCCTAAACATCTTCCTCCATGACGGTGACCGTGTGAATGTTTTTGTGCCGTCCTGTGGAGACAAGGAAATAATGCTAGTGATTCAAAACAACAGCATTCACTGGCCCTTATTCATTATGCATTAGTGGGGTTTAACAAAACAGTATTTGACAAAGCAGTATTTGTTGTGACAATATTCCACAGTTGCACAGTTTTTAGCCCTACAAGCTGTAACTAAGCAATTAGCACCCGTGTAAACACAGCTGAACCACTGTGGCTTGCCAGCAGTTCACTAGCAGTAAAGCCTTCCTTTACAAGGAAAAGCCATGTTTTAGTCTTTCTTTTTAACCCTGAAAGAAATTTATCTTTCATAGCACATTAAACAAAGGGCAAAAAAAATATTTCCTGAAAATATTTCCTGTTGTTGTACCTCATCGGGCCTCCTCTCTGTTCCCATGGAGATGAGATTATTGTACTCTTTCTCTAGGAGCTGTCTTGCCTGAAAGAGACAGACGAAAAGATGTTTCGGGTAATTTTACACCTGTAGATTAAGATAACAGAAGAGCATCTGACATCGCCGGCTGTTGTAGAGCACGTGAGGTAGTCTACCTGTGTGTTCTGATTTGGTATCTGAAGAAGGAGGGCCAGGTCAGTGTAGTCAAAGGTGTCATCCAGTGCCAGCAGGGCCCCATGGACCCCACTTTCTAACAGGTTGTCAGCAAATTCTTTTAGACCGATAGACTGCACCCAGCACATCACTCGCTCATTGGACCACACCATCACATCTGGAGAAACACAAATTCAAAGACAAAGACAAAAACACACCAGTGTGAGTAAACTAATGCTTTGAAATCAAGTTTGGGGCATTATCCAAAGGCCTCACCTTGGTTCTGATGTTGGCTCTCATCCCTCCTCCTCTCCAGCTCCTTTCTATCATAGTTCAAGCGCTTCAAGCACATGATGCCATAGTGAAGGCTCACCCTATAAGTAGTAAGGACAGAGACCTAAGACATGCAGTGGGTGGAAATATGCAGAACATAAAATTAATCCAATAACGTGGGTGTCCTTTCTTTCACCTGTGGAAACTGTCCACCATCTTCAGCTGGCCCCTCAATTCTTTCTTGGTGAGGTGATCGAGCATGCGAGCATCAACCAGCGATTCCATGAAGTAAGAACGGTACTGGGGTAGACCCAGGCTGGGCAGCCATTCATTTCCCACCCACTCATGGTTCATGTCTCCATAGGCCAGGATCTGGAGAACAAGGTTTATAGACATGAGAGTAAACAAGATGCATAATAAAAAAAAAATCCTAAAGGTAACATTCTGAATATAAAACAAATTTGTGTGTTTCACTTGAGCTAAATAATGAAACAGGAAAAATTACAATGTGTTTGTATTAACAATATTTAGTGACTTCTTAATTCTTTGGAACAGGGCAGATAAATAAAGTGCAGAGAAAATAGTAGTAAAAGGGAAACCTGAAAGTGTAATAAAAACAAAATCCCCCGCCATGCAGGGTTTTCTCCATTTGTTTCTCCTTCCCGTGGGCTCTATATACACCACACTCGTGTATACACACTGCTGGCCACTCAGCGGTCATGCTAAACATCTCTCTGACACAAATTCTGTATTACTGGGAACAGGAAACAGTATACTTGTAGCCTAAAATGGCAAAAACAATTTGGTCTCACTTTCTAAAAATGCGCCGCTAAAGTGTAACTCAT